TCATGGTCATATACTTTATCCAACATTAGAAAAATTTTATCAAATAAATCTTACCAAATAATCACAAAACAAGCAATTTTTGTACATAAAGCACAAATTCTGAGACAAGAATGTATTAACATGAGCTGACTTTTGACCTCAGGAACAAATATTTATGTATTTATTTTTCTATGTATTTTGTGAAATGGGCCAGTGGCCTTTAAGAACAAATAAAGATTCTACATAAAGATTCTACTGGGTTTTAATTACCGCATTTTTCAGTCAGCGAAATATGCAAAATTAAAACCCAGTGAATTATTAACCCTTTTACATTACACAACATTGAATATGCATTGCAAAGTATTTGTTAAATCATGACTCAGTTGCATGTTGCATCACAGAGTTGATAATACAAGTATTCAGTACTTTGGGAATGGTCAGCTACATATGTAAAATCACAAATACATGTAGCATTTGTTTTTGAATTCCCTTGATGTCATTTCTAGTATGCGGATCAATTGGCAATACTGTTATCTATGATTTCTTGTTCGTAATGCAGCATTTATAAGTACACTGAGTACACATATATATATGCAAATATTGTGTTATGGCGATTCTGATTACTAACTAGAGAACTAATACGTGAAATTCGCTAAAACACCCTTGTGAATTGTGTAATCACATGTCCTGGTTAAAACACTGCTTTAGATTTTTATCATACAAGTTATTATTAGGCAAATATACACAATAGTTTCATAAATTCTTACCATATTAGGGATTTTTGAAATTTTAAATAATATCATTCAACATCCAACAAAATGGTGATTTATCGAAATGGGCTTTTAATAAAATTGTCTTTTGAGAAAATGTCATATTCCTATTGCAACTGTGCTAAAATTCACAATTTTATTTCCCACAAAAAGACGTAGTATTCCCCTCACATGTAAAGGAAAACTAAGCAATAATGGAATTGTAGGTAGCAATACCAGGTTTTGAATAATATTTAGCAGATCTTTTCAAATATAACGATAATTTTTATTGTAAAACATAAGCATGAAATAATTCATCTCTAATTTATTCACTTCATCTGCATCACTGAATGAATGTATATGCATACATGTACATGTGGGTGTACTAAATCAATCATATGACAAAGATTTTGCAATTATGATGGTACATATTATTTCTTGGAGCGCAAAAAATAAAATTGTATTTGTTATTTTATTAACAGGCTTAAAGCTCATAAGAGATTACATTCAGGGAAAACATTCAACTGTGAATCGGATGGCTGTACGAAATATTTTACAACTCTTAGTGATCTTAGAAAGCATTTCAGAACGCATACAGGTGAAAAACCATACAGGTAAGCAGTTTTAACATAAGTTGTATCAAATAAAGAATACTGAATTTGGTCTATAGGTAGTACATGTGTGTTTATGTAAATGACAGATGTAATTCTATGTTGTAATTCAACGGACCAGCATAAAATTAATGCAGTCTTGTAGTTTGGAAATGCACTTCAAATTTAACACCCATAAATGTGTCCTTACTGGAAGTCGAGGAATACTGTACAATACTTATTTTCAAATTAATTTTTACTAAAGAAGTAAATCAGTGAAAATACTATTTCTCACTAATATGTATGTAATTTAAAGGGGCACCTTCCAGTTAAGCCTAATCTCACAACAAATTTACTTTCTGGATTAAAATAACAATGGATAACAAAAGATAGATTAACATTGTAAACAACATAAACAATAGTGTCCCATGATTCTTTGGTGCAATCCATGGGATTGAGCGGTTCCCACAAAATCAGTGATACAAGATTATGTCAACTTTTAATTTGTTTAGTAAAGGTATTATTTCATAGTATTAACAGGTTTCAGTGGAAATAGTATTGCAGGGATATTCACTTGTTGGTGAGGAAAGTGTATGTTTCTTCAGCATTTTTGTCGGCTGTCAGCCAAATCACAGCAAGGGACTGTTATCCTCAAAAAATATAGTTGATTGTACTTGTAACAATGGCTTTAAGTAACAGCTGCGAGACTGTAAGATATTAGCATAGCCCTGTCAACTTTTCTGATTCCAGCTAATGTCAATTCCTGGTCACTGATATGTATGTACATGTACGGTACTTGTACTTATGGTGTGTTTGTTCTGAACTGTTGATATGATATGATATGATACAGTGAGTTGAATAAACTAAAAGATTAAGGTCACCAATGATTCAGAATTGTTATCATGTTGTGTTGTGTTTGATTACTGTAAACTTTGTAATTTTCACTGCCAGAAAGTTTCAGAATTTTATGACAGTTATAAAGATAAAATTGTGCAAAATTCACTGCTACAAAATTTTGCAGTATTGACTGACGTGTGAAATTGAAGACGTTTGAATTATGTTCTTGACTGTAACTGAATGTTGGCTTATCTGAATTAGGCTGGTCTTTGCTATGATTCAAAGTTTTGTTAACATACATGTAGATCTACAAGAGCATCAGTTTGAAAACCAGTTAAATGTGTTTGTATATGTATCAGATGCAAATACAAGTCAACTGTCATTCTTTAACAAAGGGCGTACATGTAGGTATATCTTGTATACCAAGATAAGATAGAAAAGATAGTATTATTAGATGCGTCAGCTTGCCGTACTTTATTTTCCATAAATAAAAAACTTACATGTGCTTTTATCAGCAACATATTGAGCGCCGTCAGCTCCATATGTTGTCTACATCATCGTCTACATCTACAGCTTTAGGATTTAACGCATGCAGTACGGTAACTATTAATATGTATATAATACATTCAGGTAGCAGTAGGGGTAAAACATTATTAATTAAAAATTGATCTTTGATTCAGACATTCTCTAAAAATAAAACTTGCTACAACCTATACATCTTCATAAAAGTGCAGATAGAGGCATCAAGCATATTTACAATCCACGACCAGATTTTGGTCATGTATGGAGGGATTTTTTTCAAACTTGATGCGCATCATTTGGTTTTTATGATCATATTCCAAATAACCAGTAATTTTGTTTTAATGTATGTGGTTCCAGAACTAATCTCTGATATGTCTTAATTGAGCATGTTCAAACTTAATTCGTACATCTTGTCGCACATATGCACAAATATTTGTTTGACTAACAGATTCAAGATAACCAAATGGTGACCATTTTAATGTTATAAAAATTCATCAATCAGACATTTCTGCCATTCTGGAACCTGAATTTTATCGGGTATGGATGGATTTTGTTCAAACTTGAAAAAACAAGTCATTAACGATGGTATGTTAATTTTATCATACTTTGGGTTAATAACGAAAATGAAAAAACAAAATTGGGGTTACCAGACTATACCAGATACAAGTGTCCAAAATTCTGTATGAAACGATTCCTATTTTATTTATATTATAATTATGAATTTTGAAACTCATTACGTTCTGAATGCTTCTACAGATAGTCAAAATGAATGTTAAAAAGGGTCAGCAGGAAATGTGTTAAGGTAGAAGCCTACTCATAATATTTGACAAAATTGGTCATAAATCACTTGACAATGTTCATTAGATTATTATGTACAATCATGAAGCTAATGAAATAGCATAATTTTGTGTGTTACAGTTAAGTTTTTTGTGTAATCATTAACAATATATGTTTTTTTCAGCCTATGTCACCAGGCTAGATTTTGAGATATTGCATAATCTCTGCCATAGGAACATGTGGTAAAATAATAGTGTCAAAATGGTGACTTTTCGCTAAAATACAATCATCAATTTCTCGAAAAAAGGGCTGGTGACCCCCAACTTTTTTAGGTCAATATTCGCATATTGCCTTGGAGTACAGTTTATTGCAATATATTCTGGGTATTTTAATTTATGAGTAGGCTTCTACTTTAAGCAAAGTTTGTTGAGAAGGGACTAGAAAATTCGTTTGCTTTAGGTGGATTTACCATTTACGAAAGGCTCAGTTAAGATTTCAATTAAAAATATTGAATATATTTTTTCTCAGGTGTGTCTACAATACCTGTGATAAAGCTTTTGCTGCCAGTCATCATTTGAAAACACACATCAGAACACATACAGGTGGGTTTATGACTACCAGTAGTTTATTTAAAAATAGAAACTGTCAACAAATAAGAAGCAGGCCTAAATATATTGTCTGTACTTATTATAGATTGTCCACATCTGTATGTCTAGCTAAAAAAATGTTTCTGTTTTAGTACCGGTAGTTTATAAAAAAAAAAACATTTATAACTGGCCTAAAAGAATATTTTTCTTCTTAATTTAAAAAAATATTTTTTTTTGCTCACAAATGCCTGTTAAATGCTAAATCAAAAACTGCTGATATTAAAAATAATTTACAATTAAACTCCTTTATCTTTTCCTGTGTGTATAGGTGAGAAACCATATGTGTGCAATGAAAGTGGATGTAGTCGTGCCTTTACTACTCAGTATAGTTTGAAAAGTCACCTCAAGGGACATCTCAACAAAGCCTCGGTATGTACACATATGTTCACTTACTTCACAATTTCTATATTAATGGTACATGTGGAAAATGATCATGATCAGCATTCTCTACCAATCACAGCTAAGATAGTGAATATAGTTTGCATAATATTAGCATATATTTGCATATTGAATACTAATTTGCATTGGTTGATATGAAATATTTCTTATTATTACAGCGAGTGTGCAGAGTGTTAGCAAACTTCCTAGAAAAGTTCCTATGAACATTGTAATCTAGTGAGGGACTTTGTTATCAAATGATCTATTCTTATGAAAACAATTTGCTACATTTTGTAACAATCTCACTTTATTGTGGATTGTTAATTTTTGTCTAGGTGCATACTATGGCTAAGTCTGTTTTCATATTACAACATTATTGTGACTATACAAATGATGTAAATCATCTATATAAATCTTATTTGCGATTGCTTCAACCATCTAGCAGAAGTCGATAGGGTTATTGTAAAATTGATAATGACTTTCCAAAGGAAGTTGCAAGTTACCCATACAAATCTTGTTTGCGCTAACTGTAATCCCTGTCAACTTAGACCTTTTGCTACCCTTGTAACTTGCCTTGCAATATTCACTTTTCATTCTGACAACAGATTCTTTTTCACCATCACGGGGTCGGCTCAATTACATGTGCTACACCATTCCGTCAACCTGGGTATCTATTAGCTCAACCAATATACCTCAGAAAATCTAGTGCATGGGTTAGACAATCTGTCTTCTGGTTTAGTTCTTGACCATGTCCAGACTGGTTGACATGATTGGCATATGTGGGCAATGCATACAATTAAGTGCACTCACTGCCAATTTAACCAAATCTCACTTTCAACACCCTTTTCAAATTGTGCCTCACCGCTATCAAAATAGTTCTGTGCATTGTTTCTGTTTCACAATTTAAAATGTTACTGATACTTTTCAAAAACATGTGACAGAAAATTAAAAAAAACATTTCTTCTGTTCAAAATAATGTTTTCAGAAATCGTCAGATGGTAATAGTCAAGAAACAGTTGTTTCAGCGAGTGATGTTTCCTTGGACTCACTTCCCAGCTATGAGAGCTGTGTCGGCAGTAGTGTACTCATAACAACAGCTAATCCATCAACTCAGCAACAAGTCGTGGTATGTATGTTACAGTATAATTCATATAGCTCATTACTAAGATCCCATCTATGCATGATGGAATAAATAAAATATGTGAATCAACTATATACGAATCTGTTGACTTGGTCTCCAACAGTCATATTGGTAAAAACATCAGATTTTGCTGTGTACAATTTAAAATTATGCCCTGTGAGAATTTGTGTATTTGTTAATTTTATCATGACGATAAATCTCTAATTTCAATTTCAATGAATATTTTTGGTAATGAGTGATAATTTTGAATTCTTAAAAAGTGCAAGTCTGATTGCTTTGATGTTTTATGTATAAGTATCTCAGGAGGACTTCACTTGGATTTGTTCATTTGGTGTTCTAATTTTGATGACTACGAATGTAATTTTTAGTCCCCATCGGACGTAGTCCGAAACGAGGACTTATGTTTTGGGTTCTGTCCATACTTCTGTCTGTGTGTCCGTCGTCATTTCTCAGAGACGCCTGGACAGATTTTTTTTAAAGCTGGTACAAAAACAAGTCATAATAGGACCATGTGCACATCGATTTATTTTTTATTTGGCGACCATTTTTGTCCCAAAAAACACCAAAAAATCAATATTTGGACATCAACAGTTTCTCGGACATGCACCGATTTCATTCAAACATGGCCTTGACATCAGTCACTGATGCTCATCATTGTTTTTTCGTGATTTGATTCAAAATGGCGTACTGGTGGCCATTTTGTTTTTTGCGAGTGTTCTGCTCATTTTACATAGGTGATTATACAGATTTGGGTTAAATTATTTGGTACATAGGCAAGATATCGCTTTGTTTTATTTTATTGAACTTTAACTGACAGCCACTAATTGTCCTAAAAATCAACATTTGGACATGTCATTAACAGTTTCTGGGGCATGCATTGACCAATTTCATTCAAACTTAGTCTTTATACCAGTTTCATGAACATTTGTAGTTAATATGATAAATATTATTCAAATGCTTTTCATTGTTTGACAAAGTCACTAAAAACATGACGGGGACTATGTCATTAACAATGACTTGTTTGGTAAAAAGTGATATTTAGAGGTTGACCTCGTATTTAATAATGATATCTTCAATTCTTTAATTTTGAAAATATTTCAATATGTTTTGTTTTTTATGATGATAACTTTGATTTCTTTAATTTAAGTAAATATTTATGTCAGTTCTAGGGGAAAGAAAATATATCTAAAATCTTTTGAAAAAAAGAAAAAAAAAATTATTTTAATCACATATATTGTATTGTAGATTTTTCAATGTGAATTATTAGTCCCCGTTCGGACGAAGTCCAAAAACGGGGACTATGTTTTGACCTCCGTGTGTCCGTGTGTGTGTGTGCGTGCGTCCGGACCTGTATCTTAGAAATGCCTGGACCAATCACAATCAAACTTCACACATACATCATACATGATATCATACATATGCACGTCAATTTGTTTCACGATCTGATTCAAGATGGCCGAATGGCGGCCATTTTTTTGCTAAAAAATCAAGCATTTCTCGGCTGTTTACAGATGGATTTTGTTCAAACTTTTGCTTTGTAGCGTTACTGTTTGTTTGACCAAATTATTTCAACTATTTGTTAATAGTTTTGTGTATTTTCCAGTCATAGCTGTCTCAATACATGTAATAATGGATGATTGCATTAAAGCTTTCAAATAACTCCAGATTGTCAGCAATGGTTTCCAATTATTTGACTGATGTCTAATTCTCAGCTTTCAACAATTAGATACTGAATGGGTCAATTGGGGTGAACTGGTATTTTTAAGAAATTGGCAAAAGAAAATGTGTTAATCAGGGAATCAGGAATATTTTGTTAGCATTATACTCCAGACTTGCTTCAATAATATTTAATGAATACTAAACAATGCTGTATTTTTGGAATTAATATTTTATTTGAAGACTTCTTTCAAAATATGAAATATTTTGTTCATATGCATTCCACTATAATAAAAATAATATTCAGGTTTATGCTCTGGACAATGTATGCATCATAGTCAGTGTGAGCAAATTGAGAGATGTCAATTACACTGATTCAGTGTCTAATCACAACATTAGGCCAGACTTTTTTTATTCCTTGTTTCGCGAGTTTTTATAAAGCAATTTTTTTTAGGAGGGCGAAATTAATTCTTTTTTTCCATTAGATTTGTGTGATTCTCGAAAGAATTGTAAGTGAGATCATTGATCAGGGGGAAGAAATGAAATAAAATTTTATTCCTTGTATAACCATTGTTTCTCATCTGAGCGAGACTTCGGTACTTTGATCATGATACTCTCATGAAAATGCAACTTGGATTTGTTATGCGGCGGGCGGTAAAAAAATGAAGATAAAAATAATATTTTTTTTAGCATTTTTTTGCACTTACAAGTCGGCGGGCCGCTGGATGGATACTATTGACAGGTTTTACTGTACAGCATATCGAACATATGCACATCTATTTTTTTTTTTATCTAAACTAATTTTACAAAATCATCAAAAAAAGTATTTTTGCCATTTTTTTATACATTAGAGCTATATATTAGTCGCAAAGCTTTTTGTTGAAAAGGAGAATTCAAAATTTTGAGGTGATTCATGATTTAAATATTCCCTATTTCTGCTTTCTAAGGTTTCTTTTATTTATTATCTCATTGTATGTCTGTTAGCGATGTTTGCATTTTGATTAATTTTTTTTTTTTTTTTTGCCATGTGTATTTTTTGTAGAATTGTGAAATTTACGAGCAACCGGAACAATTAAGTAACAGCACACCAGAACAAATACTGACCAATATGTATGTAGTACAAAGTGATTCTAAC